AATGCTCCAACCGGGCCTAGGGTCCCATTTGAAACATGAAACATGTTTGAGAACATACACAGAAAAACTTGAGATACTGGGGCTTTACCCGGCTTTGTCTGAGAATAGGATCATGAGAATCACTAGCCTATTCGATGAAGAACCGCACAAGATAGGCTAAAATTCAGAAAAAGTCTGGAAAAATTCTGAATAGCTATAAGCAATTTCTTTTTGAGCTGCACAAAGGTACTATAAGAAACTCCCTTTTTTTAAATATCGGGGCCATTACCCGGATTTGGCTAAGAAAATTCTGAACTATTTAGGCTGATCGAGGTGGAGTTAGTGGCCAGTGGCCGGTACCCGCCGAGATACTCGGCGCCAATAGCATCCACCCCAACTTCGTCCTCCCGAACTCCATCCTCGTGAGGAAATCCAGAGGACCTCATCTCAGCAGGGGGTGAGCACCATCAACACCCCGAAATTCCTTGCCCCCACAAGAATCCCAGTCTCTGTCCTCAAGGAGGTGAACCAGGGCTACCCATGGCAAAGTTTTTCCTTTCCGGAAACCTGTGGGGTCCAGGCCAAAGACGAAGCACTCCGAGTATACAAACAGAAACTCCTCTAGCTGCTATTGGCCACTGCTTGTGCGTAGGTCTTGTTCCCCCATCTCTCTCTCTCTCTCTCTCTCTCTCTCTCTCTCTCCTGTCTCTTATACACATCTAGATGTGTATAAGAGACAGTGGCTGCACTACTCACCAAATGTGCAAAACTAGAATGAATCTTCTGCAGAACATGGAATAATACGCCGCCATATGTTGTCTTTTGTGCTGGTGACGAGTGGAGCAAGGCCCTTAGGGGCACTGCTCATAGGAGTAAGAAACAAAAGAAAGGGAGAGGTACGGAAAGTAGTTGTAACTTGTAACCCATAACCTGTCTCTTATACACATCTAGATGTGTATAAGAGACAGGATGTACAATTCATCCCCGCTCTAACTCCACAAATCTACTCGAGAAATTTTTCTTTGAATAGCTGTCAGAAAACGCGGAGAACTCTACACACGGTTG